TCAATAAATTCACTATCTAATCCTGTAGTAGACGCATGAGAGCAAATTTGTGTTTTAAATCTCATATCCAGCCAGTATACACCTTTAATCCCAGCACTTGGAGGCCAAAACAGGCAAATCTGTGAGTTTGAGGCCACCCTGGTCTACAGAGTGAGTATCAGGATAGGCTCCAAAGCTACACAGAGAAACCCGAAAAACAAAAACAAAATTCCATCTCCATAACTAGACCTTAAACTCACTGAAGATGGGGGCTTTCTCTCATCCCCAGGTAGAAAGTGCAGGCTCCAGAGGCAGCCTTCCAGGGTTAATGATCTGTCTCTCCTGCCACCAGTGGACCTGGTTTCAATTTACTTATCTCTCCAATCCAGACAGTGACACAGTCAGCCTTCCTTGAGCTATGAGGATCAAAACCCTGACCACAGATCAGACAAGACCCATCAGTGAATGCCAGAAACTAAAGCCTGAAAGCTTGCATAGTGACAGTGTCAAAGTCCCTCCCGAAAAATAGGAATTACAAAGGGGAGAGTGAAAAGGAGAAGCCTGGCAGTTACCACCTTCCCCAGGGGATGGGAGATCAAGAGCCATGGGATAGTCAGCACCACACAACCTGGATCTGAGAGCATCCAACTCTTTCCTCACCATAGCCACTTACTTGCCCTTAACCTTCTCTCACCAGTCTTGTCTTCGGAACAACACAGCTATTTACAGAGATGTGACACGGTCAGAATCACATAAGTAAATTCCAGCCAGGTCTGTTAGCATCAGGAGAAACAGCCTACCCCTGTCAGGATGGCTCTGGAGCCTACAAAAAAAGGCCCAGCCCCAAGAAGGATTACCACAGAGAGATGAGATTTAAAACACATCTCTAGCACAAACAGAGGAGGGACTGGAAAAGTGAAAAAACGGGCCGTGGAGCCTGCCCTGTGGGCAGCCCTCTTCACATGGAGTGCATTTTATGGGCTAGTTCAAGAGGCTTTCAGGTCCCTTCCTCTCTCTCTCACCCCCTAGACTCCTGTTCCCATTTGACTGGCATCCCTCAGACTCACTATATTTTTTAATATAACTCAATAAGGCAGTTTTGTTGTGTTGGATTCCCTGGATTTCCTCAGCTATCATCACTCCTACCCGTCTCCTCCGTCCCCACTGCTGACCTTCCTGTGTAGTTCTTCCTATCGCCACATCTCAGGGACTCATAGACTCCTGACCATGACCTAAGTTCAGATCTGCATTAGGAATCAAAAGTCTAGGGCATACCTGAGAGTATGGGTGCAGCCAGTGTCTCTGGCTGCCTCTCCTCCAAGAGAAAGTGCAAGCTTGGCCTGGCCTCTCCTGTTCCTTCCTCTATACCTCACAACCCCACTCTTGTCCAGGGACTTATTCTGCCCACCTGCTACCAACACCTCAGCTGCCCTTGCCTTACCAGCTTCATTGGCAAGCCTGTCCCCTCAGGCGTGCCTAGTGATCAAGATGCTTGTCACACTCCTTCTACCCTAACCCTCCCTTGCCGTGCCACTCAGCCTTGCCACTCAGCTCTGAGTGGAGCAAGTTTAGCTAGGCCTCCCAGCCCTTTCCTGTAAATGCACTCATAGCCAGGAGGAGTGCCATATTAAATCAAGACTGATGGAAACCAGGGGCTGTGATTATCCAGCCAAGATGCAGCATGGGAAGCTGGCTGCTGCCAGCTCCAGGTGAGAGTGTCTGAAGTTAATTGTACCCGGCTTTTATTAAGAGAATGGTCACTCCCCACAGCTGCTCTCCTGACGGTCCCTTCACAGGACCTTAGTCCAGCACCCTCTGCTTCTGTTGGCTCTTTACCTGCCATGACTTTTAGATAAGTGGAGCCCCACTAAAGCAGACCCTTGAACTCAGTCCCATAGCCTTCCTCCAGGTCCCCTCAAAAAGCCAGGCACAGCAATAGTCTGCATCCATGGAGCCCTCAGAGCTCCTCTCCTTCTGCTTCCTCTCCCCCAGGTTGAACAAATGCAAATCAAGTGTTTTCCTTCTTCAGTTATTTAGATTTTTGTTTTGTTTTGTTTTTCTTCAACTGACTTTCTACAAGGTTCGGCTCAGGACAGATACCTTTAAAAAGTGACTCGTGCCTAGTTTGGACAAGGCCAAGTGTTCAATCCCTAGTAGTGTAGAACAATACAAATTAAAAAGTAATTAGTACACTTTTTAGTTCAAACCCTTCTACACCTTGGCAAAGAAACAGAGCAGTAACATGTGGCCTCATTTAACCCCCAACATGCTGCACATTTTCTATCATGTTTGTGATTTGCATAATACATGTATATAAATTCAGATTTGTGTATGCCATGGTGCACATGTGTGTAAAAGTCAAAGAGCACCTTTCAGAAGTTGTGCTGCCCTCCCATGGAAGGAGATTAAAATCATGCAGTCAGGTCTACAAAGCAAGCACATTAACCCAGTGAGCCATCTTGTCAGCCCTCTTGTACATTTTTACCAAAGAAATCTGATATACTTCCAGTTTTGTTTTTTGTTGGTTTTTTGTTTGTTTGTTTTGTTTTCTAAATAAATAGCTATTTGAGACAAGAGCTTGGGAGGATCCCAGTGTGATCTAGGGGTTAATTTCATCGGAACCTTTCCTAAAACCATCTATGAAACTGCCAAGAAAGCAACCAGTCATTCATACCTGTTGCCCCATGCACACTTCCATAGTAATTAGAGACTCTTGCCCTTTGTCTAAGAAATTTTAGCTACATAAAATCTTGACCTCAAAGAAAAGAAAGAAGAAAGGTTTTCTGGAGAATACTTGGGGAACCACGATAGTCATACCTCACTCAACAAAGTGGAATAAAAAGTCTCACTAGGTGGCTTTGCCTGGCACAAAAGGTAAAGGTGTGTTCTGTAAGGTCCCATAGATGGAAAATAATGCAGATACAGAGTTCAATACCATGTAAGGAAAACTGGTGGCCAGAGACAGCTGCCTCAGATCATCAAGGAATCTCCAGAAGTGGACCATGTGAAGACAGCACCTGCAGAATGAGGTTCCAAAAGAGAGAGCCACAGGAAATGCTTCCCAGACAGTGGACACCCAGATGGACTTGGTTCCAGCTTCCGCTTAAGCCTGAGGACCTCTTCTTTCAGTCTATGGTCCTCTCCCTGTGACTAAATAAATTAAAAAGGATCCTGAACTTGCCCCCCACCAAAAACTAAAAAACAGAGGACAGATTAGCCAGTTAGTTACGGGATGGCCTAAAGGGAAGTAGTAATTATCCAAGGCCAGGGCTGGCATATAGCTCAGGATTAAATGTTCGCCTAACATGAGGAAGAACCCAAGGCGCAAACCCCAGTCCTGGAAGGAAAAGGAAAGGTAGAGAGAAAAATATGCTCAAATGCTTCATAAGGGTAGGTGCTTCGAACGAAGACATCTGAGTCACTCTGACTACCACTTAGTATCCACCCACATTTCTGTCTGCCAGGCTTTGCCAAGTGTTTATCTCGTTTCCTCCTTAAAGCATCCTACAGGGTAGGTATGAGCACTATCTCTGTGTTGTGGTGAGGGAGCTAAGATCGTGGGAGGAAAACTCACTACCCAAGTCACTAGCTCTTAAATGGACGAGGTCATTGGCGTTCATATCTGTCTACAGAGATGCTTGTTCATTCTGCCACATAATGGTTCACTATCAACCAGAAGAGGAGCCCCAGGTAGGAGGTGACTTGAAAAATTGAGGCACCGGATGAAGTGCTGAGCACAGTGCCTGGAACTCAGCAGTGTCATGGCTGTGTGTAAATGTGCCCAGCAAATCCTGGCAAGCCAAGTTCATCTTCAGGCTCCTTCAGGCTCTGTCCAAAGTTGACATTATTCCATCGAGAGAGAGAGAGAGAGGAGAGAGAGAGTCTGTGTCTTGCCATCAGCACCTCCCAGCCCAGTGGGCCTGAGTGCTGAATGGGCTTGTGGGCAGGGAGGAGGAAGAGGCAGATATATGGCTGGAGTTGGCAGAGCCAGGTGATGTATGTGGCGCCTGAGGGAGCTGCACAGTGACACTCTGGATTCCAGCCGGCAAGCGTCACTCCACTGGGATCGGTGCCGAATTATTGCTCCATATGAAACCGAGGACTGATGGGAGCTTTCAGTTACAGACTGATAGCAACAGCCAAAATTGGATTGTTTGCTATTTATTTTTTTTAACTTCTGTCAAGGTCACTACTATAACAGGAAAACACTACCCAAGCAGCAGGTATTTTTCATCCACTCTGCCCACAAGAACAATCTGCAACCACAACTTCTGTGACAGGGCCTTACCTTGTCAGCTCTCTCCCAAGAAAGATGCCCTAGTTACTAGGGCCACCTAAGACCTGGCATCTGTGTCTCAGTTTAGGATCTGCCTATTTCTGTTTCAGTAAATGATTCCCCTTCAGGCCCACACCCTCAGCCCCCTCTGCCCAGTTGCCACTCCTCCAGCACCTGTTAATCTTCTTTTTTGTGTCTACCCTTTCATTAATTTTTCTTTTTTTTTTTTTTTTTTAAGACAGGGTTTCTCTGTAGCTTTGGAGCCTGCCCTGAAACTCGTTCAGCAGACCAGGCTGGCCTCAAACTCAGAGATCTGCCTGTCTCTGCCTCCAAGTGCTGGGATTAAAGGTGTGCAGGGATGATCTGGACCAGCACATTACATTAATTTTTACACTCTCCAGATGCTGCTGCTGGATCAAAGTCCATGCCAGAAGCAACCAGAGCCTGCCCTTAGGAAGAGCTCTATGGAGTCAGGATAGGCTTACGACATTCAGAAAATCTTCCAGGAGCATTATTTAGTGAATAAATGGATAGATGGAAGCACTTAAGGCTGTCAAACCCCAAGGAGCATGATTGGTTCTGTCCAAGAAGTGTTTGTGAATAGGCCCTGGCCCTCCTGCTTGTCCTAAACAGTGGGTCCTAAACAGGGATGATCTGGACCAGCCTTCAATGGTCATGAGCCCCTGGAGCCCCAACATCTGCAGTTTTCCCAGCCTCCCTGAACCATTTGCTCTTTCTCCCCCAGTACATGGAGAAGCAGAGGAAGCGTGAGGCAGAAGAGCGGCGCCGCTTCCCACTAGAGCAGCGACTGAAGGAACACATCATTGGCCAGGAGAGTGCCATTGCCACCGTGGGTGCTGGTGAGTCCCCAACACTAGTCAGGTGGGAAAGGGTCAGGGCAGATTGTGCTCCACCACAGAGGTGCAAATCTAGCCGCCCCAACGCCAGAGAGATGCGGTTTATATTCATGTTATCATTTGCCAAGTACCATCTGTATGCCAGGCATTGTCTTTAGCTCTTGGCATCTTTTAGGTCATTTAGTCCTTATAGCAATGCTATGAGATGGGCATCATCAAATACCATTTTACAGAGGCATGGTGCTGCATTTAAGAAATCTGATCCAGGCTACTTTCCTGTGCTTGGAATTGAATTCTTGCCATTATCTGGTCCACTACCCCACCCCCTACTTTTAAGCTGGGACACTTGAGACTCAGAGAGGGTGGCAGCTGAGCTAGGATAAGACTTAAGTTCCCATATGCCAGCCAGCTCAGGACTCATTCCCAAACTTTGAGAGTGGTTTGCCAGCAACTACATGGCCAGATCATCAGAAAACATCCCAAAAAATGCCTTCTCCCCCACTGATAAAGAGCTCATTCCCATCCTGAGGGCTTCCTACCAACAGCTCTCTCTCTTGGCAGGTGTGTACAGTGGGTGCTGGTGAAGGGAGGGGCCTCACCTTTGTTCTACAACTCAGACCTGTGCCTGTTTCAGGGTGACTTGAGGGAGGTGAGGTAGGGAAACAATTGCATGTGCCAGACTAAACACAGGGGGGTCATCCCCTGGAGACAAGTGATTGTCCAAGGATGTTCTCTGCACCAGCAGCCAGTTTCAGGCCTCGGTTTACACCTGTGAAGTCACAACCTAGTCTTTATATTTTGAACAGGCCCTTTAGGCTATCTTCCACTCAGCTAGAGTGTGAACCCTCTATCCTAAACTGTCTATGCCTAAACTGTCAGTCAGTCCTACTGTCTGGCCCCTCTAGTCTCTAAGTATCTCATCCCATTACATGCTGCCCAGTGTCTGTTCAGTACTCACCAGGCTCTGCCTACTAAGAAAAGAGCCATCAGGCTGGAATCCAGACTGCCCACTTTGGGGACAAGTTAGGGAGTAATTGAAAAATGATGGCGTTACCCCAAGACATGTTGAGCCTAACCTTCTCTCCATCATCCCCATGTATCAGGAGAGCTCATGAGCCCTTCACCAGGGGCCTGACTCCTTTAGCAGATGAATGGAGCCTAGGGACCAAAGCCGCCCATCCCATCTAGAAGTCAGTAGGTGACCTGCAAGGTTCTATCAATGCTGGGAAGAGCCACCAATTGGGCCCAATCTGCACCTGGATGCTCTTGGGTTCTAGTTATGCACATCTGTGTCCAGCTGCCACTTTCAAGATGGGAGCCTCACATGAAGACGTAATAGAACAAACCACTTGTTGGAGTCTCACTTCCACACGGATTGGACTACAGCTACCCTAACAATGATTCTGCTTCTTATATATCTGTTTCCTTCGACTTTCTCTTAACCTCTGACCGTCACTTCTCAGCAGACCCTCAAGCCCAGAAACAGCATTTTACAGGGGCACTGAGATGCTGTTTTCCTTTGTTGGAATCATTTTGCTTACTTTTGTTGTGAGGTGCCAAGACCAACACCCCATGACTCTGAAGCCCATGTTTTTCTATCTGCCATACAGCCCACAAAGTAGTCCCTGTCCTCGAAATACTTTTTTGTGTTGGGTCCTGTACTCTTGATTAAGCCAGAGCTGATTTCTTTCACCTGTAACTGGGCACCCAGTCCCAGCTTGCCTGTTCCCCAGCACTGAGCTGACCTCTGGTGCCTGTCTTGATGTCATCCTTTGCTATTGCTTCAGACTGGGTGATCTACTCTCCACCTCCAAGAGCTGTCAGAATATGCACCCTGGGAACTCCATTCCCTGAAAGCCTCTCTCTGTCTTCTGAACTCTGCATGAGGTCAGCAGTAAACTAGCTGCCAGGAAGGCCCACTTCTTGCCCCATTGTATATAGATTGGCCCTGCTATGGCTCTGGTGACCCTACCACATGACAGTGCCCTTGGGACCCATGTTGTACAGAGCTTTACCTTTTTTTATTTCATTTGCTGTACACCTGCCTTTCTGAGGAGCCCTGCCACTGGATCACACTCAGAATGCCCTGCGCCATGTTCATTCCTGTGACCAGATCCCAGAACTTCTGGATGCCCAGAAAAAAGAGTAAGCAGCCTAGTGGCTACAGCTGCAAGCCTGGTCAAAGCATGAGGTGTTTCTACCCAGGAACTCCAGCAGGCAGAGGAGGGTGGAGCAGATCCAAAGACCATGTCAGGTCTTTCTGGATTCTCCAAGCTAGTGTCACATGTGTGTTAGGGACTGTCTAGATGGGGACATAGCCTGGCACCCCATGGGTACCATGAGGATGGGCATCCAGAGAAGTGCTGCAGAATGAATTGATTTGATAAATGGCCATTTATTACCCTCACGAATTGGCTGAAACCAATTTCGGTCACATCAACCCCTGGTAAGTGCTGGGATATTGATTTGTGCAAAGTAATACAGTGAATTTATCAGTGTGATCCCCAGCTGCGGGGCTTCTAGCAAGGCTGGCGCACAGTTACTGCCTTACAAATGGAGGAGCTAAAGCACCAGCCCTGCAAACCAGGCCCCCAAGGCTGCTCTTGTCTGTTTGGGTCACCAGATCCATGAGGCCAAACTATATACTACATGGGCATGGAAAGTAAGCTTTGCCTTCCAGAACCCAGTCAAGGGATGGAAGATGTCATCCTGCCTGGCAGACTTCCTGGGAGCTCAGGACAAGCCCCACTCACCTTGGAAGGCTGTCTGCTGAGCATATTCAGATCTAGGCCTCCATTCACTGATCTCCTAGATAAACATGTAGACATTTCCTTGGCTCCGCCTTCCTTTTCACACAGTACAGCTAAAGTATCAAGTTCTGCCATTCCCTTCCCTGGTTCTCACTCTTAGCTTCTCTTACTTTTCCTATACAATTTTTACTTACCTCATTGCTGTGATAAAACACCTAACAGTAACCAGGTGGTGATGGCACAGGCCTTTAATCCTAGTACTTGGGAGACAGAGGCAGGTAGGTCTCTGAGTTCGAGGCCAGCCTGGTCTACAGAAGGAAGATTTTATTTGGGCTCATAGTTCAAGAATATAGTCCATAATAGCAGGAAACCATGGTAACAGGAACTTCAGGCAGTTGCTAATAAAGCAAGCAGTTAATGCTGGTGCTTAGTCACTTTTTCCTTGTTATTGAGTCTGGCACCCTGCCCTTGAAGTGGCACCACCCACGAACTAGGTGGGTTTTCCACCATAATTAACCTAGTCTAGATAATCCCTCACAGGCATGGTCAGAGTCTTGTCACCTAGATGACTCTAGAACCTGACATGTTGACAGCATGCACCATTATGTCCTGATACTCTCTGATCCAGCCATGCATTGGCCTCCTTTCCTTCCCCTGGTGTTCCTGTTGGGCCAGAGTGATCATTAGAAGCACAAATCTAAACACTACTCCCTTGTTGAAGGCTTTGAGTGGTCCTTATTGTCCTGATGTGCCACAAAGGGCCCACTGCTGGTGTTGCTGCCCCCTCCATCACTGCCCCTGCTTGCACTCACACCAGCCACTACAGCCTGCCCCTGCCTTCCCACACACATGATGCTGCCTTCCCCATCTGAGTCCGTGACTGCTGCCCTCTCAGCCTAGGCCTTCCTGTCACCCTAGGGTCCAGCCCAGCCCTACACACTAGCTAACCCAATTCAGGAGCAATGAACTTCAGGCTCCTTGTAAGAAACCAGGACATGTTTGTGTTATCCACTCTCCACAGTAGGTGCTGAAGCAGTTTGCGAAATTCACTTATGTGGTATGGCCCCTTGTCTGCCCCTGTCAACTGCTCTGAGGAAAGAAGACAAGCTACAGCACCTGCCCTTTGGTAGCTCACAAGCCTACTGGAAAGGGAACTCTTGTGAGGTTGTTAATTATAGCCATACTCTTGGCCTTTGACCTCGTGAGTGGGCAGCAGGTTAGCCTGCAGCTTCAGAACTGTGTCTGTATAAGGACACAGGCATTACAGACATTTCCCCCAGGTCCCAGTAGATCCTCAGAATTCCTTGTACTCCCTCCCTCATGCAACTCTATCCTTCCACAGCACATCTGCCAGGGCCTTACCACATGCCCCTCCCTAGCACGCTTTCCAGTTCTCCCCTGGACTTAGAGCCCTCCCCTGGGCTTCCTGTGAGCACCTGTCATTACATTGGTGGTTTGATATCAGCTACCCAGGCTGCCCCAGAACCTTCAGTTGGACGGAAGCAGAGCCCTGGGCTGAGAGTAGGTAGCTGTTTCTTCTCTTTGCCTCTGTACACCAGAGCCTTCCCAGGATGTCCTAGTCTACCTTTTGCTTCAAGCATGAGTGTCATCCAGGTACAAATGCTCTGCCATACTCCCAGCACACCATCCCATCTCAAGCCCGCAGTCTCCGTGGCAGGGTTTCCCTCAGGGGTGCATGCCAAGTAAATGGCAAAGCTTGTCTGCAGAAAGGATGCCTAAGACATCCTAGAAGGCTCAGGAGAGACCAGAAGTCTTTCCCCAGAGTGGCAGAAACCACCCGTAGGACTGAGTCTCTCCCAGCCACTGTCCTCTGTAAAATGGGAATTGGAGAATCAGCCTTCTTTTTTACCATCCCAGAAATACCAAGAATTCATTTAATCAACAAACACTAAACAATCAAACCAGTGAAGACCTAGTTGAAATAATCCCTAAGTAATTAGATTGCCCAGCACCAGCCTCCCCAGAACAAATTCAGGTTGGGGCACTTTCTTTCCCAGATATAAGGGCACAGGTAAGAAGAAAACACCTTACATTGATTTTCCATGTCTGGCTCCTTAATTTCCTCCTCATACTTCTTGAGATTATTACACTGTTGAAGGAAAGATTGTAAAATGCTGATACCAGCCAGGTAGAGTAGTGTATGCCTTTAATCCCAGCACTTGGAAGACAGGCAGGTGGATCTCTGTGAGTTTGAGGCCAGGTCTACAGAGTGAGTTCTAGAATAGCTAGGGCTACATAGAGAAACCCTGTCTCAAAAAACAAAAACAAACCAAAAATGCTGATACTGAGCTGGGCTGTGGTGCTGTGGTGGCTCACACCTTTAATCCTGTACTTGGGAGACAGGGGCAGGTAGATCTCTGAATTTGAGGCCAGGTTGAATGTTAGGTCTACAGGGTGAGTTCCATGACATCCAGGGCTACACAGAGGAACCCTGTCTCAAAACAAACACACACACACACACACACACACACACACACACACACAATAAATAAGTACGTAAATAAATAAAAAACAAAATTTTAAAATGCCGACACTAACTGCCACCGTTGCTACCACTATGACTCCGATGACTTTCACCCTCATCATTGCCCCTCCCTTTACAGCTTTTCTTCATGCTTTCCTAACCATTAACTCACTTCATCTTCATGGGGGAGCTGACAGCATATGAGACTGTCTATTTTAGAAATGAAGAAGCAGACTATAAAGGAATAGGTATTTTACTTAGTCAGCCAACGAGCCTCCTCCTACCTCTCCTCCACACCACCCTGTAAAGGAATTCACATGAGAGAACTGATAGGCTAAGGCCATTATGGTGGAGTTAATCCTGCAGACTTGGTACAGAGGTACTCTTCAGTGGTGTCTCACAGTAACAGCCATGGCCAAGAGAAAGCATCTAGAAAGGGACACGACAGGACACAAGCCAGATGCTCACCAGCGCAGCTTATGAGAGAAGGGGCACCTGGTTGGAACTTGAGGAGCTGGGGCTTACTGAGGGGGATGCTGCTGAGTTGCCCTGTAGAAGCCTCTCCCCATCCCCCTACACTATGAAAAGCCAAGAATGGGGAGGACAGGATCTAGACGACTGAGTGCACCAGATTGGAGGACTATAGAGGGAAAATTTGAGAATGAGTCGGGCTGGAGATTGCCTCCCTTTGCTATATGCTCCTGACCCTGAATGTTCAGGGATTAGCCACGGTGGGGTTAAAGCCCTGCTCTTCTGATTATGTTCCTGTGGCTTGAGCAGGTTTCCTAATGTCTGTGTATATTCTCACCTATAAAATAGGAATCAAGTTCCCTGGCCATTTTGCCCCATATAATCAGAATGAGGAAATGTGACATTACTGATACAGAGTAAGTTGTGCAATAAAATGTAAGTTGCACGTGTGCTGAGCCACAGGAGAGTATCAGCAGGCACTATGACTGCATGCATGTGGCCCAACCTTTTTCCCAGCCTGGCTGGACTCTTCCAGGCTCCCCAGGCATCAGTCCTCAGCCACCCGACCAGCCATATACACCCTAGGGCTTGCCTTCCCCATTTTTTCCTAGCTGCCTTCATTTTTCATTCTGTCGGACTCCATCTGCTTGGCCGTTTTTCTCTTCAGATATTATTAGAAATATCCAGAGTTATAATTGTTTAATGGTTGGCATTTCGCCTGTTTCACAGGGACCCTAGAGCAGGCCCACCCCAAACTCATGCCCTGGGTCTGGCAGAATTGACCAGGGACAGCTGTGCAGTGGAGTCTGCCTGGCATTATAAAGAGCTCTCTCCCAGGTGCATTATTAGAAAGGAAGGGGAAAGATGGCCCCAGGCGTAATTCAATTCCACATTCTCCATGGTGTGTTCCCCTCCCCCCCCCCCCCCCGTGTGTGTGTGTGTGTGTGTGTGTGTGTGTGTGTGTGTGTGTGTGTGTGTGTGTGCTGCAAAGCCCAGCAATGTGCAGCTCTCAGTAGGCTAGGATGCTACCCCAAAAGAACAGTCAAGAGCAGAACCTCACAAATGTGATACCCTGCAGGGAAGGGGAGAGATACCACCTGTCTGAGTAATGCTGGGTCCTTCTGCCTCCCCACATATACAAAGTCTAAACCTGCTTCAGGCTTCCTCTGTTCCCAACATAGATTCTTAAATCTGCCAACTTTGGAAGAATGTGCCTCTTCCAGCTGACCCTCTCTCAGGCCTGCCCCCACAGATACATGCTTACACATAGCATCCACAAAGTCTTACCTTCTGCCAGTTTACTACCTGAACTTGTCCCAGAATACCGCCCCACCCCCACCCCAGCTACATGTTTCTGTTATCACCAGGGACTCCTCAGACAGGCTTGGGGTTTTCCCCTTTATCCCTGTGTTCAGGCCCATGAGGTCTCTGAGTACTCCTCCTAACCCGCCCTTCAGAGAACCCCAGCCAGCCAGATGCCAGCCCAGGGGAGCAATCAGGCTGTTTCCCCAGGCCCTTCTCCAGGAGCAACTCCTGGCAGCACAGGTGGCTAGTGTGGGTTCCATGAGTTTGTACTGCTTCCATCTGTTTCTAGAAGGTGAAAAAGATGACAAGTATAAGGCTGAAAGCCTTATACAAGTGGCCCAGACTCCTACCTATCTCTTATGTTTGTGTGGCATGTCCTTCCCCCATCCCCTAACCCCCGCTTTGTGATGGCCACCTCTGCAGATCCTGTCAGCCTCTGTGCCCTGTCATCTGTTATTAGTCCTGCAGCTGCTTTAAAGCTCAGCTGCATAACATCGGGGAGCTTGACTCCTCACCATTGGCAGGCACATCCCTAAGACTGTTGACTCCTTCTCCATTGAGTAAGTTTCCAGGCCTTGTGCTCTGACATATATCCCTTTCTTATTCTCCTCTGACACTCTGGGGACCAGTCCAGACACTGTTCCATCTGCAGACAGGCCCTGACACTGCACAGGGCTCTGCCCTCTTCCTGCTCCTAGGCACCATATTTCCATTAGTGTGACCCAAATTGGCACTCACTTCTTAAGTGGCTGTATTGTGATTTTTTTTTTTTTTTTTTTTTTTTTTTTTTTTTTAATAAAGGTAAGTTTTGGGAAAGAAGCAACTCTTACACAACTTAAACAAGTTTCTTTATCCATTCTTCTGTTTTCTGTTCCACTTAATGGAGTTAAAAATTCTTTCCCTTCAGTGTTTCTGTGGGTCTTGAATAAGTAGATTGTTGGTAGTTTCCAGTTGTACCTGGTGTATGGTGTGTTCAATAAATGACTCTTCTTTTAACTCTGCCTAACTCCATTCCCTGCTCTTCCACTTGAGGCCTGATTCTCCCACACCATAGCTGAGACTCAATTTCCTCGCCTTCATACATAGCTCTTGACCATTTATCTCCTCTTAAAGAAGGGCTCTGTCCCACTTCTCACCCCCAGCCTTCAAGAAGCCATAGTTAGCAGAGATAGACCCCAAGCTCTACACGACCCTTGACTGGCAACCAGATTGGCTGTTTCCACTTCTTAAACCACACAACACAGCAGTCCTTAGCTTCCCCAAATGAGAAAGAGCCCAAATCTTACACCTCCCTGGGTCCCCAGATGTCATCATAAAATCATGCCTCTACTGTTTCCCTAGGTGAAGAGAGGGGTGACCAGGGAGAGTTAATACTCCTCTCAGATTCTCCTTCACCAATCCCCCACCCCCTTCACCTCCATTCACCATCCACCCGCCTTTTGGTTTCCCTGGCAACGCTGAGTGCTCATCCTGGAAAACTTTATCCGAAATCTGCTCTGGGCAGCTTTCCAAATCCATGCTAACCTGATTAGGTATCTCTAGGGGCCTTGCCAGCTAATCAGATTAGGCAGCACTAATGGTAGTGAGGACTTTGAGTGGGCGCAGAGCAGTAAAACATATTGTATACTTAGTGATAATTATCCTGCCTTTTGTGTCATTGATTTATCTGTCTCCCTCCCCATTCCGTGTTGTGTTTGGCCGTAGCGATCCGGAGGAAGGAGAATGGCTGGTACGATGAGGAGCACCCTCTGGTCTTCCTCTTCTTGGGATCATCTGGAATAGGTAATCACAGGCAAATCAGGCACTGGGGCAGGAGAGCTAGAAAAGCATCTGGCTTCAGCCTGACAACTCTAGAAACAGCTGCCCCAGCTACAGAGCAACCAAGAAAGAAGACCTGGGTGTCTTAATCCTGTGCCATGCTACCAAGAACTGGGTGAATTTACTTGGTGTACCAAGCCATTGGGGCCTTTTAGCCTTGGCCCAGGTATAGTATGTCACCATAGGCTCATCTCTGGGGACAGCTGAACCACCTTTACTACCTGGCACATGAGCTGTACTCAGGGCTGCTCACCCTTGGGAGGCTCAGGAAACTCCTGTGCACAGTGCGCAGCACAGCTAATTGCAGTGGTGGTGGGAAGCGGGCACTTTTCTAGTCAGTCGTGCTATATCCTCTGAAATAATTCTTGGCTTTTGCTCCACCCCTACCTACCCTCCCACCCCCACCCCATGGTCTAACTACTGCTTCTTCCCCTCCCAGCACCTTCATAGATCTGACTCTCCTCAGATCACAAAAAGTTGGTAACCCTTATCATGAAGCTGTATGTACCACATAGTGGCTTTACCATCATTCCGGATAACCCTTCCAAACTACCACTTGGGAGTTGTCCTCTTTGTCACAAGAAGATCTGTGGAGCCAGTGGGACGTACTCTATCCTCTTCTAGCCTTGTCTTGGCTTGAGGTTTCAGCATCTAGCTGAATGACTGAACCTTGCATGTTTAAGAAAGATGCATGGCTGAGCTGGGTATTGGTGGTGCACATCTTTAATCACAGCACTTGGGAGGCAGAGGCAGGTGGAGCTCTGTGAGTTTGAGGCCAGCCTGGCCTACAGAGCTTGTTCCAGGACAGGCCCCAATGCAATACAGAGAAACCCTGTCTCGAAAAACCAAAAAGGAAGGAAGGAAGGAAAATGCACAGCATGAGGCAGTAAAGTAAGCAGGGCACTCCTAGAAGAGATGAGCTTTGTGCTAAGCTTCACAGGATGAGTTGGCTTATGAGTCCTCCTGCCACCATTCTGAGGGTGCTGCTACACAAAAAAAGTCCTTGGTTCCATTACAGGAAAATTGGGAGTCAATGCCAACTTTCATTGTGGCCCTGGCTTCACAATTCATTCCGTGGGTGACCTTGGGAGAGGCTCCCTATCAACAGAAGAAGAGCTTGTCAGTGTTCATGCATTTCTAATGGGTTTGGGTTGGGGTTTTATTTTTGTTTGTTTTGTTTTTGAGACAGGGGCTCTCTACTTAGCCCTAGCTGTCCTGGAACTGACTATGTAGATCCTCCTGCCTCCTGCCTCTGCCTCCTGAATGCTAGAATCAAAGATGTGAGCCACCACTCCCAGCCCTAGTGTTCTTTTACTCCAAAGATTGATATCTGATCCTGATCCACCTCATCTCCCTTATTCCTAGGGAAAACTGAGCTGGCCAAGCAGACTGCCAAGTATATGCACAAAGATGCCAAAAAGGTAAGGAATTAAGACCAATGTCTAGTCTACAAGCCAGGGAGACCTTGCCATTCATGCTTGTTGTCCTGAAATCTAAGCAGCAGCCAGTCAAAAAACTGGGCTCAGCCCCAGAAGCAGGCCTCAGGTCTAGCCAGGAATTGCTCGAGGAATTAAATCTCTCCGTGCTTCAGTTTCTTCAGCTATGAAATAGAAATGATCATCCTTAGCCAGCCTGAGTTAAGGCATTTCGGAGAACTAAATGAGACTCACCCACACATAGCTGAGCATGTGGTCCATGCCAAGCACCTTGCTGGATGTACTCACAGCTAATACAGTATTTATTGAGGCTTCTGAAGGAGCTAAGGCTAACTAGGTAGGTGTTCCAGTCAGGTAGAGCTGTGCTGCAGAGAAACTTGGGAGGTCCTGGAGAAAACAAGTAGGAATAGTATGATGTCAGCTGCTTATTTATCTAGCATCTGCCCTCAACTGGGACTGCTGCTCTGCTCCTTCCGGTAGCCCACAGCCCTGGGTTCTCCCCAGCAAAGAGCCATTTCCAGCGCCATTTATCCACGCCTGCTTTTAAAGACCTTGAGTGACAGGAGATACTTTTGAGAAAGCAGTCCTTGGTGACAATACTATATTCAGTAAAAGCTAAGTATCTTACCAACATTAAGGCTAAGTTCCCCATTTGCCAGGAGGTTGCCCAAGATTCCACTGTTTGCCTGGTTTTGTGGACATCTTCCCTACCCCCAACAGGCAAAGAAGGGGTGCTAAGGCCCTTTCCAGCCAAGTAACCCAACAGTAGAGTCTAGAACTCCTATTCCCTTGTCAACCACCTGCTCCCTTGACACCTCCCTAAGAATCCATGGAATCCACAGAAACAAGGTAGCCCAGGCTGTGTGGGCCCCTTCTATGGGTCGGCTGACAGAAAACTTAACTCTTCCTGTCTGCTAGCAGCTGTGCTCAACCTCTGCCAGACCCACTGCAGACCTACTAGACAGGCAGGCAGGCAGGCAGGCAAAAAGTGTGTAGCATGCTAATGTGCTCCAACCGAAATAGCAGCTTTGGACAATTCATCAGGTTGGCAGCGATTGAAACAATTAGCACTCTGGAAAGGGCCATAAACTAGCAAGACTATTAGGAAAGATGCAGTTACGGGCAGGAACCACCTGATTAGGGATGAAGAATTCTGAGTGGTTTAATTTTAATACTGTCAGAAAGGTTAATATTTAATTACAAATTATAATCTCCTTATCCATGCTGTCTTAATATATCTTCATACACATTAGAAATAGGAGACTATCTGCTGACTTGCTGCTGTAGAAAGAAGGGGCCCTATAAAAGACTGATGATACAGGCACTTTTTAGGTGGTATATCTAAACAGGAGAACACCCCAGCCCACCCCACCCTCGTGCAGAGTGTCCCACAAGTGGGATGGTGTCTTCCATCAGTACATGCCTCCCTAAGAATGCAAGTATCACCATGTCCTTCTTACACCTCCTGTTTAACAGTGAGCTTTCGTACACCAAGCTCCTTCCTTGCAAAATCAGCTTTCTTGACTTAGGGTATCTGAGGTTGTGGTGAGCATTAGTTTGCTCAGGTTTTAGCACGCTGCATAGACTACACCCTCATCTTTACCCTGTCCCCAGCAATGCCCACCTGCTATATGTTCTTTCTTGATCCTATGAGGAACTTAGCAATGCTAAGTTAGATCTGCTTTTTAGTTGAGAAAACTGAAGCCCTAGAGTAGCAAGAGGCTTGCTCAAGGTCATTTGTTAGGAGGAGGCATGAACCCAGAGTCCAGCTTTCCACTTTTTTCTTAGTACCATTATTCTCAACTGCTCTAGGGGTGAGGATATAGACATTTTGATTCATCTCTTTCCCAGAGAAAGATGAGTTACATGACAGGCCCTCCAAAATGCTTACTTAATAAATCATGGGTGATTCTGCTATAAAACCTTCTGTCCAGCCCCCTGGGCCAACTCATTACAGAATGTTTACATGGACCTTGTCTGCCCATAGATATTCATGTTTGAAACATGCCTTCAAAAATTCAAAAAAAAAAAAAAACCCTGGACTATAAGCTGATGCCAGTGCTCCTGATACCTCAAGACACTCCATAGAGCAAAAAGTGTTAGGTTTGAGCCCAGTGTCACACGGGCCATCACAAATGGGAATGCTCTTCCTGTGCCTCCCAAGGTGGCTCATGAACTGAGCTGAGCACTGCCTGGGAGTCCGCTGGTCTGCCTCTCTGATCCTCATTTTACTGGTTTGTGAAGAGACACTAATGCCTTATTGCCTCACAAGACATTATTTATAGCTGCACATTTTTCTTAGCAGGTCTGTTTGTAAGCTTATTGGTTTTTCTTCCCCTCAGCTTCTGTACTATTTCTCCCCAACTGGACAGCCTTATTAACTCTCATCAGAGTTAATAATCCTTAGGAAAGAACCTTTGTTCTGTGATGTCATCATAAGGTCAGGTACTAGAGCCCAAAAGACTTTTGAGTTTTAGTGGCAGTATGTTTACAGGTTAAGAGCAAGTATGTGGTCTCCTCCCCTGTGGAATTGGCTGGGACTGCTTTCACCAGTTTTCTAAGTTGTAAGTTCCATAATGCTGCTTATCCCATTAGATTACTGAGACAGTGATACAAAATATTGAACTCCATTACTCATAACATTACATACTACCCACAATGCATAGTCAGTGCATGTTGGATGAGCCCTTGGTTGCTGTTATCTCACTATATATAACCCCAAGCTGAAGTCAAATGTAACCAGCCAGGTAGTGGTGGTGTACACCTTTAATCCTAGCACTTGGGAGGCAGAGGTAGGCAGATTTCTGGGAGTTGAAGGACATCCTGGTCTACAAAGTGAGTTCCAGGACAACCAGAGCTGCTACACAGAGAAACCCTGTCTTAGAAGGGGAGGAAAAAGTTGCATGTAACCAAAAGATTCCAGCCAAGAATATTAAGCCCCAAAACTTGTCCAAGCTGTTTAGCAAGACTCTGAAATAGACTCTAGAATACCTGGGGTGAGGTCACTTGCTGTAAGAAAACACTATTCTCTACCTTCTGGATCCTGTGGCAGTCCCTTTGAGCACATGCCTCTGAAGCTCTCAAATGAAGACGTCTGAGAACCCAGCTTGTTGACAGAGGGGGAAATGAAAGGCAGTACTTGTCATAACAGCAGACCCTGCATGACCTTACACAAGATACTCCAGTCTGTGACTTACTTTTTCATGTCCTGCTTTAGTACCTTTCTCAGAACATTGTCAGGCCAAGTAGTAAGCATATCAAATGTCAACTGTTATCATCAGAAATGTGTCTGTGACTCTAGCAGATTTTTGTTCCCTCTGGTTAGCACTGAACTTCCCACAGTTGTTCTGTACCTTTCTAGAAGCTTCTGTGAATGAGCTGCTAAGATGCTCTTGAAAATGCTGCTCATGCCACATGAACTCACCACCTGCCACGTAGTCTTTCTAAGCCCTTTCCTTCCTATTGGCTTAGGTCTCTCCTCGGGCCTCTGCTGAGGCAAGGATAAGAGCCAAGAGCTCAGTGTTGCACAGGGAGAGACACTGAATTTAAGTCCTCCCTCCAGCCTGTACCTGTATGCAGTGACAGGACAGGCAACTCAGACTTCACTAATTAGCTGCCTGAACAGTGGCCTGGCTCCTTCTGAGTGTCCTGGTGCCATGTTGCCCTCAGCTCTTGGGAACAGCAGTACTGTACATTCTATAAGAGCTTGGTAAGGAAAGAGGAGCAGAATTTTTTGGTAGCCAGGTACCCTTGATGCCCTCATACATAGCTCCAGGTATCCATTTCAAAAGGGGCTCTCTACCTTTGCTAAATCACACACTCTAGCACCTCTTTCCCTGGCACTAACTGTGGCCTTCTCCCTAAAGGGCTACTTTTTGAGAAATATGCCCATGGTGGAGAGAGATCTACAGAGTCATCATTAGTACCTTATAAGAAAAAAATGTAAAATAATAGCTGTGTGCTGTAGCAGAAAAACAAAAGGACATAGGCCTCCCACAGCCTTGCAGAGTTGAGGAGTACTGCGGAATCCTGTCCTTCATCTCTTCACCATCTACACTGGTGGTGCTGACCTCAACCATGCCTGCCTGCACCACTCAAATAGCTACTCCTCAAGGACAAGAACTTCAGTGCTGGGCACATGTAGAACACCCTCTGGGAATGCGTGAGAGAGGGGAATGGGAGTTATAAATAATGTAGTAATGAGACCAATAGAAGCTACCTGAGGGAAGGGACATCCTGAATCATATTTAGAAGGGCAGAGATGTGATTTGGCCTTATGAAGGTAGAAAATGAAGGTATGTGGGAAAGTAAATGGGCAGAGAAGCCCAGAGTAGGAAAAATTTGGACTTTTGAGAATATGACAGACATCTCAAGCTGCTGTGGCCTGAAGGCCTAGGATAATTGAGGGCTCTGGCCTGGGCCCTTCTTCTGCTTCCTGTCTCATATTGACAGACCTGCTTTTCTTCCATGCAGGGCTTCATTCGACTGGATATGTCTGAGTTCCAGGAACGACATGAGGTGAGATAGTCTTCAGGGAAGTGTGGCTCACAGGGTCTGCCATCATGGCTACTTTGGTGATTTGTATGATTTGTCATTTGAGCCTTTAGGCTTCCAATAATTCTAGCAGCCCTAGGATTTGTCCTGTGAGGGGCAGGTACATGCATAATACAGTCACTGCTGTGTTCTGCTTAAAATTTGCTCTGAAGTAACTGACCCATCTATTCTCCCAGTGTGGCAGGATTCCTGACCTGTAGCTGGCTATCCTTGCTGAGACTGGCCCTCTTAATACTATATGCATATAGCCATCTTCCCACACTGACCCCATATTGTAGGCTAAAAGCATAAAAAAAAAAAAAGCTGAGTAGTGGTGCCACATATCTTTAATCCCAGCACGCAGGAGGCAGAGACAGGTGGTGGATCTCTGAGTTTGAGACCAGCCTGGTCTAAAGAGCAAATTCCAGGACGTCCAAGATTATATGGTTATACATAGAAACCCTGTCTTGGGGTTAAAAAAAAAAAAAAAAAAAAAAAAAAAACCCTTCCTAACATGTTCTTGCCCTATACCAGGTAGCCAAGTTTATTGGGTCTCCACCAGGCTACATCGGCCATGAAGAAGGTGGCCAGCTGACCAAGAAACTAAAGCAGTGCCCCAATGCAGTAGTCCTCTTTGATGAAGTGGACAAGGCCCATCCAGATGTGCTCACCATCATGTTGCAGCTGTTCGATGAGGTAAAAGAAGGCTGGGCCAAGGTGGAGAAGTGGTCAGCATTAATGGGGGCTGCAGGCAATAGGAGCCCAAGGCCCAGCACCTGTCTGATTGATTGGTCCTCTGTTTACTGTTCCTCTCCTCCCATATATACTCAGTTACTTGGAAAATCCCCTCTCTAGGCAGGACCCAGGTGAGGCACTTGAAGGGAAACCAGCTAGATTTCATGGTCTCCCAGACTGCCTTCTAGAGGTGCCATTGAGTAGGGGTGAGGGAGACAAGAGTTTTAGGTCTAGCCTTGCTCCTGACTTTGTGACCATCACTCTAGCTAGAAAAGTTCTCCAGTAACAAAAAAAGGAGTTTGCATTAGTGAGTGAGTGTGTGTGTGTGTGTGTGTGTGTGTGTGTGTGTGTGTGTGTGTGTGTGTGTGTGTGTTGCCCACAGAGGCCAAAGAGGGCATCAGATCCCCCAGGGCTGGAGGTACAGATAGTAAATACCATGTAGGTTCTGAGAATCAAACCTGAGTCCTCTGGACAAGCAGCCAGTGCTCTTTAGCTACAGAGCCATCTTTCCAGGCCTACACCATTGCTACAGATGAAAACACCAAAATTAAAAGAAGGTATAAATGATAACTGCATGGCCACTGAGCTTCTGTGTAGAAACAGGGTTGGACCGTGAGGGATAGCCTCTACCCACCCCATGGTTCCTGCCCTACCAGGAGAATGTGAGGACCAAGGCTGAGTGGAGATGAGGGCCTTTTCTCTTGCTAAGAGCTGTACTAGCTAGCACTGTGTGCCAGACAGGGTCACTTTTTTCTTTGGTCCCCCCCCCCCCAGCTTTGGGGAAATAAAGATTTGCTTTGCTTCCCATGTCACATGAGGCACAGGGAACAGTAATAATTTAAGCAACAAGTCACAAGATCTAAATGTCCTCACCAGCTGCAACGGTCTCCTTCTTTCCTGGCCCAGAGTTTTTGCCTTTTCCCCAGGTGTGCTGCCATCTTCCCAGTCAGTTGGCCTGCAGAGGAAGAAGGGCCAGTCACACACACACATGTACTCAGGATCTGTTGGTAGGACTCAGGAGCTCAGCTGTGGGTCACACCTATCCCTGCCAACCTAGGAAGTGTGTAGAAAGGGAGCAGGGTAGTAGTTGGAGACTTTGCACTGTGTGTGTTACCACACACCATTCTAAGAAATGCACATGAATCGATTCTTCCCATCCTTAAAGTAACACTGAGTTAAAGGTGGTTAACCCAGGAAGGCCACTCCAAAGCTTACAGGCTCCATGACTGCCTTCATCTAGGGCCAGAAGGAGGCTAGTCCGCAAGGAAGCATCACAGGAGGGGAGGGCCAGTTCAGGGAGGTGAGCTAGCAGCCTGTTTGGCCTCTGGCCTTCCTGTACAGATTCATATGGTGGCCTCCTTGGCCCCAAGAGAGGTAAGGTGGCTGCTGACAGCCAGCCCATCTAGAACATGCTAATGACCTCCCATGAAAGCCAGTCTACCCCGGTCCTGCCTCATGATTCCTTCCTCCAACAGGCAGCCCAGCCCAATAACTTGTGATGCTCTTGATCCAAAGCTGCAGTTAATAGTTTACTCAGCCAAATTTAAACATACATGCATATTGAGGGTGGGACTTTGACTGGTACACTCCAGCCATTCCCCCAAGCCCTCCAAGCCACAAAACGCTGTGTTGACTAACTGTAATTTTTGTTTTCTGAGACAGGGTTTCTCTGTGTAGCCCTGGCTATCCTGGAACTTTCTATATAGACCAGGCTGGCCTCAAGCTCAGAGACCCACCTGCATCTGCCTCCAAGTACTGGTATTCAGTATGTATATGACTATATGTTTATGAGGCGAACACAGAGAAGGGAGAAAGCTGACACCCCACAGCCCAGGGTTCTACAGCTCTTGACTAGTGTCATCAGACAGAAAGCAAGAGCAAAGTGGTACAGATGAGGTAGCCAGTGAAACACAGCTAGGAAGGAGACACACACACACACACACACACACACACACACACACACACACACACACACAATATTGAAAGATCTTTAAACAACAGGGTTAGAATTTTACTCTATAAAAACCCTGAAGGCAGGTCTGCAAGGGAGACCTAACAGGAGGCCCAGTGAGGAGACAACAGAAGAATCCATCTGTAGCTGCAGCAGCCTGGTCTAAAGCACATTTGCCTGTGAGGAGAGAGAGGTGCCCACATGAGCTGATTTCTGGCCAGAGTAATAGCTGAGCCATGAGCTGAAGCAAGGAAATCTACAGGCCAAGCAGCAGATTCAGGTCCCCATCTGTAGGAAGGTGACACCTGGGGAATTGTAGTTGCTGAGAATAAGATGCCTATGGACCAGCCCATAGATAACTCCAGAACTTAGGAATACTCTGGTAAAAAGTTATTCATGTTGCCTTTAGCACAAGAGGCTAACAGAGATTAAACTTGGAGCCTGGCACAGATCAGAAAAGATTCAAAGAGGAAATCACTACAGTGATAGGCAAGCCACAGAGTGTAGCTCATGTGTTTATTCATGAGGCATTATACAGGGCAGAAGGGGCACAGCCTGTGGTGTTAATGATAAGCTGAGTGGAGAAGGACACCTGAGGTAGTTGTTATGCTCAGGGAAAGTAACGAGTACAGCAGTTATAAGGGTGCGTGATTCAGACTTTGGAGGTTATGGAAGTCCCTGAACCACACCAGGCCTGTATAGAGAAAACCAAGCTGTCACCAAAGCACCATGAATACTTGGATTATCTCCAGTGAATACCATGCTATAGCCAAGCGTAAAAGCCCCAGAAAAGCCTGGCTCCTGGAGAGCTACCTTCTCCTCTTCCCACCAAGGAGTCATAGGGATTCCAACCTTCAGTATTGACAGAGCGGACAGGCAGCCCAAAAGCCTGGGGTGAGCTTGCACCCCAGCCAGGATAGCTGACAAGGACAGTTTCGTCTTTGGGACACATCTTAATTGCCAAGAAAACTGAGTTGTGAGTACTGAAAGTTACCCTTGGGGTCAGTTGTGTCCTGCACCTGCTCCCCTGGCCCACATGGAACCATCCTGAGGCCCAGTTACAACCAGAGCTTTGTTCTCTCACATTGAAATTACTGCTGGGTTATTGCTTTGTCCAGGACAGCAATGCGTGAACCCAGTCATGAGAGATGGGCTCAGAAGGCCGGGGTGGAACACACAACAGAGTGAAGTGCCATATGCACATGCTTGGTCACATCACACAAGCACCCAGACTTGGCTCCCAGTCCAAGCTGTCCCCACTGATTCTGTGGTGTTAGAGACAGTGAGCAGGGACAAGAGCAGACAGCTCAAAAGCTGACCCTGCTTCCCTTTCCCACCTCAATGCAAGGACAGAGGTGAACACATGGAGTGCCACACCCCTTTGTTGGGCTAAGCAAAACAAGCCTGAAAAGCATGCCCAGCATGCCCATGCACTCGCTAATGCATGGAGTTTAGGCTATCACTGGTGCCATCAGGAAAAGGGAAAGAGTTTGACCTAAACATGGTGACAGGTTTAGGTTGGGGCAGGAGCCCACCATGGCTCAGTGATCTGTCCCCAGGGTATGTTCTCTAGCTCTGTCATACCTCAGACAACCCCAGGCGAAATTGTCTCCCTCTCCCTCACACTTGTCTCCAGTAAGAAGCAAAGATTCAAACTAAGTTTGGCCTAGAAGGAAATCCAGTGAGGAAAACACAAGGCACCCTTGGGATGCTCTCTAGACTGGGGCAGAGAGGACAGCATAACTCTGGGGCCAATTTGTGGCTGTTGTCTTGTATTCTGGCTGCAAGACTCTGAGCTTGAGTTCTTTGTGGTTGTAAAGACTCAAGCAACAGCAAATGAGTGCTGGACCCCTGGGCCAGCCCCTCGTCCTGGACAGTGACGAGCAGCCTGTCCTCAGTCCAGCGGAGTGAAGTACTGTGGTGACAGGTGACAGAAGTGGTGCCCTCGCCATGTGCACCCTTGACACTCACTCCATTGATCCCTCTTATTGAGGCCTTGCTCACTGCCATCACAACTGTCTTGTTGGTATACCTTGAGGTTTGATGTATGACCTGGTTGCTTTCAGAGCACTGTTCTTTTATTCTTCTGTTTCTGCCATTTGTTCCTTTTCCTATTCTTTGGCATGACTGACTCCAAGAGAGACAGGAGAGATGGTTTCCTCAATGTTACTTCTGGAAAGAACAAAACATTCCAAGAAAATTTCCTAAAGTGATTAAAGGAGGAACTTCATCATCTATCCCTCTTTGTCAGGATGGAGGATGGCTCCAGAGCTAGATAAAATGAACATGGTGGCATACTCCTGTAATCCCATAACTAGGGAAATGGAGGCAGGAGATTCAAGAGTTCAAGATCATCATCAGCTACACAATAAGTATGAAGCTAGGCTTGCCTACATGGGACCCTGTCTCATTCAGTGAGAGGCGGGGGAGAGGGCGAGAGCTAGAGGCAATGGCTAAGAGTGCTTGCTTTTCAATTCCCAGAAGCCATGTCATGTGGCTCACAACCACCTGTATTTCCAACTCCAGAGGATCTAGTGCACTCTTCACCTTTGCAGGCACCCACACGTTCATGGAATGCACTATCAAAAAGCCAGACACAGTGGTACATGCCTCTAATCCCAGCACTTAGGAGGCAGAAGCAAGTGGATCTCTGTGAGTTTGAGGCCAGCCTGGTCTACATAGTGAATTCCAGGACTGCCAGAGCTACATATTGTCTTTAAAAAAAAAAAAAAAGAAAAGAAAGAAAGAAAAGAAAAGAAATAAAGATGTAGAACTGAATTTACTAGATTTCATTAGCCATAGGAGTAACAGCTATCTATTTGCCCAGTATGGCTTCCTGAATCTCTTTTACCAGTGACTACTTGTGGTCCTCATAACATCCTCTAAGATGCACTTACACAGTAGCCCAGGCTTTCTTTCATCATCATCATTTGTTTCCTGGTCTCACTGACCCTCTAGACCAGGATCATGACATGGCTCAGAGAGTTCCAACCCAGAGTGATCCTCCGAAAGAAGGTGTTTGGTTGGAAGTCAGACTGACCATCGGAAGCCAGGAATTCTGGGTGCCTTGAGGTTCCAAAAGCAGGTACACCTCACTAAAGGTAGAGCCCTTGTCAGGATGTGAGGCCTATGCCCAGAGAACTTAGAGCAGGGGGCAACAGCTGTCTGATGGAGCCTACTCAACTACCAGCTTCTTAAACATGCTATCCCTCATCCTTACCAGGGCCGCCTGACAGATGGCAAGGGGAAGACCATTGACTGCAAAGATGCTATCTTCATCATGACTTCCAATGTAGCCAGTGATGAGATCGCCCAGCATGCACTGCAGCTGAGGCAGGAAGCTTTGGAGATGAGCCGAAATCGAATTGCTGAAAACCTTGGTATGATGTATGACCTGGGCTGTTGCAGGAGATGATCTGACAACTGGTGTACCTAGGGGCAGAAAAGGACTTGAGATCATTAGAGCAGAAAGTAGATATTATCCCAGAGAACAGTGGGGACAGGAGAGAGTGCCCCCTCCCTCAGTAAAGCCTGGGTCCACTGGATTATAGGATGGCTTCAGACCTACAATCCAGCCCCAGGGACTAGAGAAAGAGGGCAAGGCCTTACATTTGAGGGTCTTGGAGATGGCATTAGAGAGAGACTACATCTGCCTGTCTCCTCAGGATGAGCCCTTGAGCCTCTTTACTGAGTCAGAACTCCGGTCTTCATCATGAGTCTTCTGCCTCAACCCAATCAAATCTGAGTTTGTGGTTTGTGGCCACAAGAGCCAAAGAGCCTCAGAAGTTAGCCGAGATGCTCAGGACAAAGCCTACGACCTTAGACTATGGCTGCATGCACTCAACAGCAAGCCAGAGCTCCTGAGTGTGATGGGTAAGTCCTTTTTGATCTGTCTTCACAGGGGATGTCCAGATTAGTGACAAGATCACCATCTCAAAGAACTTTAAGGAGAATGTGATCCGCCCCATCCTGAAAGTGAGTTTTTCTTTTGACTTGAGTTTTTCTTTTGACTTCCTGCTGGGGCTTGGGGACAGAGGAACCACACTAGAAACATGGAAATTCCTCTCTTCCCCATTGGTCCAGAAACTTCCCACCCACCATCACTGAGTGCCTCTACCCTTAACCTGGTTCTGCAGGCTCACTTCCGAAGAGATGAGTTTCTGGGACGGATCAATGAGATCGTCTACTTCCTCCCTTTTTGCCATTCAGAGCTCATTCAGCTGGTCAACAAGGAATTGAACTTCTGGGCCAAGAGAGTAAGACGGGGCTGACTACCCATGGATGGGGATAAGATATCTGGAACTCTTAAGAATGACTCCCCTTAAAGTTGGTATGGGACCAGTGGTCCTGGGGGCACAGCCTCTCAAGGCACCCTTGGTCCAGTGTGCCTAGAGCTGGGTGGTACTAGGTGGGCAACATGCAGACAGGCCTCTCTCTGACCTACCTCAGGCCAAGCAGAGGCACAACATCACACTACTGTGGGACCGCGAGGTGGCAGATGTGTTGGTTGATGGCTACAATGTCCACTATGGTGCCCGCTCCATCAAGCATGAGGTAAGCACAGAGGCCTGAGACAAGCGTAGTACCTCTACACCTTCCTGGTGCACCCAGACACAACTTTCAGGCTCAGCTGGTCTCCCTGTAGTTCAGCTGCTAGAATTATCCATACAACAGTGAAGAGAAACCCCTTCAGAACTAAAAATAAAAGATGATCAATTAAAATTAGTCTCTAGCCAGGCATTAGTGATTTGTGCCCTTAATCCCAGTACTTGGGAGGCAGAGGCAGGCAGATCTCTGAGTTCAAGGCCAGCCTGGTCTACAGAGCAAGTTCCAGGGCATCCAGGGTTACAGAGAGAAACCCTATCTCAAAAAACAAAACAAAACATTAGTCTCTAAGCAGGGTGAATAAGTATGACCCCTCATTAGAAGAACCTGGGCTGAGAGACTCATAAACTAACATCATAGACCCTTTAGCAGTAACTGGTGAGCTAGTTGCCATTAAGCCCGATTTGTAAGTAAGAAATGAGGCTCTGAGTTGGGCTCTGATTTGCCCAAACAGTAAGTGACAAAAGCCAGCTCTTGGCTTAAGCTACAGGTCAGGTGCAGGCCAAGGCAGTGATGGCCATGTCACCTCCCACCACCTGCAGGTAGAGCGCCGTGTGGTAAACCAGCTGGCAGCAGCCTATGAGCAGGACCTCCTACCAGGGGGTTGTACCCTGCGCATCACTGTGGAGGACTCAGACAAGCACCTTCTCAAGAGCCCAGAGTTGCCCTCACCTGAGGTTGAGAAGCGTCCACCCACACTGCGTCTGGAGATCATTGATAAGGACAGCAAGACTCGCAAACTGGACATCCGGGCACCACTGCACCCCGAGAAGGTGTGCTACACCATCTAGAAGCCACCTGCCTGTATGTACCCTGAACATCTAATAAAGGCCCCTTGCTGTGGCATGGCAACTGACCTACCATCCCCTCATGCCTCCCCAAGGCCTGGTGCCCTCCCCTGCCTTCTAGGTTGTGAGGTTCATAGTCTGTTATGATCTTCAAGGCAAGGAATGGGAAGCCTGGTCTGCACTTCAGTGTGGACTCCATCCTGTGATGTCACTAGAACATTACCATTTTGCCAGAAGTGTGGCAACAGAAAAGTCTGGCTGGAAGAAGACAGGGACCAGGCAGCGGTATGCCCCCTCTGCTTGTGTTAATGCAGGTCATCCCCATGATGTCTCCATGGGTTGGAGGAAGGCAAGCCCCCAAGCACAGATGGCTCTGTAATTTATTCTACAGCTATCTCTTTCCCATGCCCTACAACTCTCCATCATGCCCACCCTGGAGTCAAGCCTTATGACTAAGCCATTGTAGGGCACCCATAGGTCTGAGTGGTTCCTTTTCCTGCCTTCCACTGGATGGAATCTTGGTCCCTCGTGACCAGATTCAGCTCTGAGTTGAGGGCCTGGGGGTGCTCGTTCAGGCTGGCAGTACAGGATTGAAAAGTTATATGGGAGCAAGGGTGGGGTCAGGCTCCATGTAGGTGGACATGGAGTGCACCTCAGCCCTGTCTCTTGACTCTCTCCTAGCCAAGTGGGTCTGGAATAAGCCTGCTGTAACTCAGCATGGCATACCCTTAAGGACAGCAGGCTACCATGTGTTTCAACCCGGCTGCTGGGCAGGATACATCAAGGCTTAGCAAGTCACTGTGCATCATCTGCAGAAGCCACCAGGTGCCGCTGATACCTACAGGGTATGAGTAGAGCCCTTCTGTGTGTTACCTAGCTTCTGTCAGGATGCAGAGATGGGGCTGAAACCAGTGCCATGGGTCATAAAAGAATGTCATGATGCGATGGCCAAGCCAGCACGTGATCACAGCTCTGAATGGCACCACCCAGCCCCTCAGGCAGCCTGCTGCTCTCTACCTCAATAACTGTATTTTTACTTTGAAATTGTTTAGACTGACAGAAATGTACCCCCCCCCCAAAAAAAAAGTAAAATTCTCATGCCTTTCACTCAGCCTCTCCTAATGTCAGACAGCATAAAACCAGGGGTAATGAATGACAAAGCCAGGGCCAGGGAATGAGCATCGCCATATGCTCCTGCTCTGTCTGCAACCATTTGGGTTTCACCAGCTTTCCCCTGGTGTCCCTTTTCAGCTCCAGGACCTGCCCAGAAATCCCACATTGCATTTGGTTTTCCATTCCCTTCTCCTCTGTCTGCCTGAGGCAGTTTCTGTGTCCTCTTTGCTCTTCTACAGTCTGGACATTTAAGTCCTTTAGCTCGGGTTTGTCTACTGCTGTCACTGATGAGACTGAGGTCTGTGTTCTTGTAGACACCATCTGCTCTGCTGCCTCCCAGCACCTGAACTGTTAGCTGTAATCATGAGGCTAGGGTTGTCTGTATAAGGGTTCCCTACTGTAAAATTGTAAACTTTCAGGTTGGAGTGTAGCTCAGTAGTAGACCTTGCCTAACATGCATGAGGACCTGGGTTTGATTCCCAACATCACAAAAATAAATATATGTAATATTTATATATATTTATCCCCCCCCCAAATGAAATCAAGCCAGACATCAGACATACTGGCTTATGTCTGGACTCCCAGAAGTCACAAGTTTGAGGTTACCCTATGCTGCTTAGTGAGTTCTAGACCAATCTAGGCTACATAGTAAACCCCTGTCTCCAAATAAAAAGAACCAAGCAGGTAGATAGATCTCTATGAATTCTAGGCTGGCCTGGTCTACAGAGGGAGCTCCAGGCCAGCCAGAGCATAGTAAGCTCCTATCTTTTTTTTTTTTTTTTTTTTTTTTTAAGGCCTCTAATATGGCTTAGGAGCTTGCTGCATAACCTGAAGATTTGAATTCAGTCCCTGAAACCCATATAAAGATGGAAGGACAGAACCAACTTCAAAAAAAATTGTTCTCTGTTCTACACACACACACAGTAATATTAATAATAGATTTTAAAAAGGAATGAAAATGTTCTGAGAAGATACTTGAAGCTGTTTAAATGTCACATGCTTAGAATTTTTCTTAGAGTTAAGAATCCATCTTAGCTTAGACATTTACTGTTCTGTTTACTGTATTAATTATGAAGACTTTGTTGTTCCTTGTTGATCTGTATTTATTAATTGGTGTTCTCTTCTAAAGAAACCTTTTACTTCATTTATTCAATAATGTATTCTAATTTATTCTGTTGGTTATAATGTAGTAGGAAATGTGTTGCACAGTGCAGCCCTACTTACATTGCAGGCTCCTTCATGCTTTGGCCTTGCTTCCAGCCTTGTGTTCTAGCACCATAGACTGTTCTGCGCTCACTCACAGTCCCCATATCACAGCTCCCCTTTCTCCAACACTGTCCTGTTTCCTTTCAGTGTATAAACCAATGGTTTCTTGATGTTACAAGAGTAAGATCTGGACACCAGGTATGCCCGATGGTGTTCTGGGCCCTCCCAGCTGATGCACCAGGAAAGTAAATAGATCTAGTAACACATGCATGCACACACGTCTGGTTTTACCTCTTCATCTGTGTTCAAATTGGTGCCTATAGTCCAGACTTATACTGGAATGTGTGGCAGCCTCTTTTTTTTTTTTTTTCTTTTCTTTTTTTTAGTTTTATGTGTCTGAGTGCTTTGCAGGAGTGTATATATGCGTGCAGTACCCCTGGAGGCCAGAAGGGGGTGTTTTATACCCTGATACTAGAGTTACAGGCACTATTGAGCCACCACGTAGGTGCTGGGATTTCAAACCAGGTCCTCTGAAAGAGCAGCCAGTGAGTGCTCTTAACCAAGGGGCCATCTCTCCAGCATATGCACTGGCCTTCTTAAACCTTTTCTGCTTCTTCCTCTTTTGTTTCTTTCCTTTTCTTCCTGTGTGATGTCAGTCTGCCCTTAGAGCGCTGGTTCTCAGCCTATGGGTTGTGACCCCTCTGGGGTCACATAATCCTTTGTCAGGTGTTGCCTAAAACCACCCTGCATATCAGCTATTTACATTATGATTCATAACAGTAGCAAAATTGCTGTTATGACAGTAACACCAAAAATAATTTATGGTGGGGGGTCACCACAACATGAGGAGCTGTATTAAAAGATCACAGCATAGGGAGGTTGAGAACCACAGCCTTAGATGCTCTAAGTCAGCTGGTCAGTGCACTCCTATGCCTTATTCCTATTAGACAGTCAATTGTGGCCAAAAATAGCTGGCATTTAACACAAAACCAGATCATTTCTGGAAACCCCTAGGCTATCTTCCTGATGTAGAGACTCAGGCTGTCACTTCCATCAGGAGGCCAGGCCCCTTGGTTGTGCTGGGAGCACACCTGGCTTTGCTCAGCGTGCGTGCACCACTTGTTCTGTGGTCGGTCTTTGTCACTGGAACATAAGCTCCAAGAGGGCAGATGCTGACACATCTGGCTTACTAGACACAGAGCCTGCCATGGTGCCAGCATGTCACAGACACCCAGGAACATTAGATGGGGGAGGGGTGGCCCTAGGATAGGACAGTATTGTTTATTCATTCCATATATTTTTACTTGTTATGAACTTGTACCCAGGAAGGGGGATGCACCGGGCTTAAGATCTGAGCAAGCAGAGCAAGGTGACAGCAGGCATCCTAAGGAGGGGCCTGTCATGCTTGGTCCCTGGGGTGGGGGCACTCTGGCAGGAGAACCAGAAGGACTGTGAGGTTAAAGTATGTACTGATTATTTAGACTCGTGAAGGAGGGACATTTAGGGGTTGGACTGATGGGTCAGCCATTAAGAGTGCCTAAGAGTATTTAAGCTCTTGTAAAGGACCTAGATTCCATTCCCAGCACCCACATAGCAGCTCACAACTACCTGTAACTCCTGTTCCAGGGGATCCTACACCTTCTGGCCCCTGTGGGCTCCTGCACATAAACTCATACATACACACATTAAAATTTTAATAAATGTAAAGACATTTAGACCTCAAGAATAAGCAGAAAATGGTCAATCAAAGCTGAAGTTTAGGAGATTAAAAAAATTTTTTTTTAAAAAAATTAACTAGCCAGATGTAGTAACCCACACCAATAATCCCAGCACTCAGGAAGCTAAAGCAGACAGATTTTTTTGATTAGTTAAAAGGGTAAGTTAAATAGGTAAAAATTTCCTGAACTAGCTAAGGGAAAAAGGAGCCCAGAAGAAGCTAAAAATGAGTGTCATCCTTGCACAGGAGCCGCGTTAGTCTTCTCTGTATTGTTCCAGTCTTAGTGTATGTGCTGTGGTCAGGATGTATGAGAAAAGAATTAAATAAAAATAAAACATTACACAACAGCAACCAAAAAAAAAAATAAATAACAAAAATGAAAATCCAAGATTAGGAGTAAGGAATTAGATATAGTCACAGAATGGGGAAATAATTTTTATAATTTCATAGCGACAAATTTTAAAACGGGGTAAATGACAATTCCCTAGAAAACAGGCTAAAGGTGCAGTCTGTGTTGTGGGCTAGGGTGTAGCTCAGTGACAGCTGAACTTGTCACTAACACCACAGGAGAGTTTCTGGTTGGTTTGCTTTTGTGTTTGTTTTTTTTTGGGGGGGGGGGGGGTTTTGGTGGCAGTGGGCTTTTGTGTGAATGTGTTTGTATTTATTGAGATATGCTCTTACTGTGTAGGCCTGACTGACTCTGAACTCAGAGATCCACCTGCCTCTGCCTCCCCACTGCTGGAATTAAAGGCATACACCACCACACCTCACCACAAAAAGCACTTTAATTAAACTTTTGTGTGTAAAGGGGGTGTGTAAAGGTCTGGGATCAGCCTCAAGTGTTCCCCAGCCATTTGCCTTGGATTTTTGTATTAGTACATTACATTTACTGGCTTTGTTACTACTGGTGTGTAGAAAGGAGGAGGATGTGTATGCCATGGCATGCATATAAAGATCCGTTCTTGGAGGTCTTGAAGACAGACACCTTTACCTGCTGAATCCCATTGGGCTGGAGTTTGTGAGACACAGTCTCACTGGAGTGGAGGCTGAGCTGACTGCTAGGGAACTCCCTGCCTCCCTTGCTGGGGCTGTGGTTACAAGCATGTGCCAGCACACTAAACTTTTCATGTAGGTGCTAGGAACTGAACTTTGGTCTTCATGCTCATGTAGCAAGCCATTACCAATTAAGCCATCTCTCCACCCCCCATAATTAAACTTTTGTATTGAAATATATATGTACATATGTGCAGGTTAGTTTCAACTTGATACAAACTCAAGTCACTTGGGGAAAGAGGACCTCAACTGAGGAACTGCCTCCGTTTGGTTGGGCAGTAGGCAAGTCTGTGGGGCATTTTTAATTGCAAATTTAATTAGGAGTACCCAGCCTTGTATGGGCAGTGCCATCCCTGGGCAGGTGGACTTAGCTGTATAGCAAAAATGGAGGAGAAAGCCAGTGAGCAGAGTTCTTCTGTGGTCTTCTCTCCAGGTTCTGCCTTCAAGTTCTTGACTTGGCTTCCCTCAACTACAAGTTCAAGGCCAGCCTAAGGGGGGGCGAGGTAGGAGCTCATTCTTATAATCCTAGCACTTGGGAGGTGGAGGAAGGAGGATCATTGTTTAGGGAACATGAGGCCAGCCTGACCTATGTGAGACCCCATGAAACTAAATAGAAGACCCACATCTACTCAGACTTGATAAAACTGAATGGTAGAACCCCAGTCTCACCTCTGACTAACTAGATGCAGAAATTCCAAGTAAGTTAAACTGTAGACTGGTCTCATGAGGGCATGAAGCTTCTTCCCAGTCAGCAAAGCCATCAATCTACCACAACAAGAGCAAGAGCTAGTCATCTATGGAAGGATAATGTTTGTTTCATTTTGTAATTAGGAATATTAAAGAGAATGCCTTTATTTTTAGAAAATATAAAGGCAATGAGCTATTTCAGGGATCTTAATTTGCCATGCATGCTTGTACACTCTGAGTTACACTCTGAGGAGAAGCTGTAGGAAGGAATACAGAAACTCTTTATTATTTTTGCAAACTTTTCTGAGAGTTTTGAACTACTTCAAAATTAAGATTTCTAAGTGAAAAATAAAACATCAGTGTATGCAGTTTTGAGTGGGATTTCTTTAACCCTGAGTTAAAGAAAAATTATTTGTATATGATAGACCACCAAAAAACTAATAAATGTTTTACTTGTAAGTACTAAGTAAGTAAGACATTGTTTAGAAAGTTCTAGAGAAAGAAACCATGGGAGAATACCAAATTGGTACAAATGTTCGAAAGTAAATTCTCTTGTTGTGATGTACACTTGTGTATGTAGAAAATCCAAAGGGCAGTTGTAAACCTATCAGCATTAAAGGTATTTTTGGTGAGTGGCTAAATAAAAGCTGAATGTACAAAAAAAAAAATCTCTTTATTCTACCATCGTATTAGTCACTTTTCTATTGCTGTGGTAAAACTCCATGATCGGGGCAATGTATAGAAGAAAAGGTGTCTTTGGGGCTGAGAGTTCCAGAGGGATGAGTCCATCACCATCACTGCCAGGAATAGCAGAAGGAGGGATCACATCTTCAACCATAAACAGGACGTAGAGAATGAATTGAGGACCATGAATGGCTTTTAAACCTCGGACTCCACCTCAGTGATGCTTTTCTCTAGCAAGGCCACACCTAAGTGTGTGTCACCAGCAGGGCACCAAGTATTCATTCAAATTATCTAGAATATAGAGGACATTTCATTCAGACCATCACAACCAGTAACAAAAAGCCATGAGGACAAAATCATTAGGATCTCAGTTGCATCAGACAGGTGGGTATATTTCCTCAGGGGTTCATAATCCACCACACAAAGGGAGGCAGTGGAAAGGAAGTGTCAAGATATTTGCTTTCTTTGTGTCTTTGTTTTTGAGGCAGGGTTTCTCTGTGTAACAGCCCTCGCTGTTACTTTGTAGACCAGGCTGGCCTTGAACTCAAAGATCCACCTGTTCTGCCTCCCAAGTGCTGGGATTAAAGGTACACACCACCGCCTGACAAAATACTCACTTATTTAAGTTTTAAACCATATTAATGTGCTACCTGCTCAATATTATGAAGTCTTATGAAATTTAACAACTGAAAAACACTGAACAAGATCTGACAAACTTTAAAAACTGGAGATGTAGCTCAGCTGGCGGTGTGATTGCCTGTTGTGTGGAGCCCAGGCTCAGGCCTCACCTACATGAGCAAGTTCTAAGCCTTATCGTCACCCAAAACTTTCTCTTGAGTGTGATGGAGATGGAGAAACTAAGTCTGGTCCTTGTCACATAAGCAGCCTGCAGCAATCAAAATCTGCAAACCTCAGAAGAGAGACTCCAAAGGCTAACTGGGGATGGATGCATTGTGTCCCATTCAGAGAAAATAAGTCAACGGAACCCATCCTTGAAAGAGGTATATCAGGTTCACCTGACACTGTGGGGTTTTTTAACTTTGTTTTTGTTTTGTTTTGAGATGAGATAGCCCTGGCTGGTCTTCACTTACTTTGTAGCCCAGGATGTCCTCAAACTTGAAACAGTACTGCTCCTAGCTCAACCCTCACTGTCCTGGGATCCCTTTAATGTTTTGTTTTATTTATTTCTATTGTATGTATATGAATGTTTTGCCTATGTGTCTGTGCACCACGTGCATTGCCTCACTGAAACTGGTACAGAAGGCTGTGCGAAACCTTGTGGGTGATGTGAATCAAACCCAGGTCCTCTGTAATAGCAATAAACGTCTAACCACTGAGCCATCTCTTCAGCACTAATTTTTGGATTTAAGCATTTACCATGTCCAATTAAGTAAAATCTTTCAAATAACTGACTTAAAGATGCTCAAATAACCAATGGAAGACATGAATAAAGTTAAATACTGTGTGAACGAAGTGTAAATATTAAGGTAGGCATGTAACCCAGTGCTAAAATGCCTGCCTAGCATGAATAAGGCCCCTGGATTTGAGCCCTAACACACACACACACACACACACACACACACACAGGAGCCTGAGGTAATGTGGTAATGCATGCCTGTAATCCCAATGCTCAACAGGTTTGTAGTAAGATATCCACCCTGTCCACACCTGCAGCACTGACCACAGGTGCAGATGTGACATAACCCGGTGTGGATGCTTAGAGCTGGACTTGGGACGATCACCTGCCTGTTGTGTAAGTGACTTCTCCCCCAAATAAGCCACTTTAACAGCACTGAGTCTAGTGAATCTTGATTCCCACGCATTACAGACTGTAGCAGGAAGGGCATGATTCAAGGACAGACAGGTGAACACCTGTGATCTCAGTTCTCAGCAGGAGGACAGGAGTAGTAATGCACTCTTAACTCTGGTGAGCTTGAGGCCACCCTGAGTTATATTTCAGTCCTGACAGGAAAGAAGGAAGAGAGGAAATAATGGCTGAAAACTACATTAAGTTTGATGAAGGACATGAATATAAATGTCTGAAAGATTCAATGAACACATTTTGGGGGGTGGGGGCTGGGAGGGACTTGAACTCACAAAGATCTGCCTGCCTCTGCCTCCGGAGAGCTGGGATTAAAGGCATGCACCACCACTGCCCAGCTCAATGGACACTTCTAATCCCAGCATGTAAGATGAGTTCATAATAAACTAATTACTTTATGTCAGCCTGACACAAACAAGTCACCTGGAGAAAGGGAGCCCAATTGACGCATTGCCTCCATCCATCTGGTTGGACTGTGGCCGTTTTCTTGTTTGATGATTGATGTGAGAAGGCCTGGCCCATTGTGGGCAATGCTACCGCTGGGGTGGTGGTGCTGGATTATATAAGAAAGCCACAGGGAGCAAGCCAGTAAAATACAGTCCCCCAACGTCTCCATTTCACCCTGGACTGTGATGATGGACTCTGCATGCCCTGGGGTGTGAAGCAACACAGTCAAAGTAGGACTACACCTAACAATCAAACTTGTGAAAGAGTCTTGAAGGCAGCAAGAGAGAAACAACTCACAAGTATAAGGATCTAAAGTAACACTGGGGGCTTTTTTTTTTTTTTTTTTTTTTTTTTTGGTCAAAATCTTAACCAGGAGGAAGTGAGCTGATAAATCCAACATGCTTTAAACTACAACAAAAACTGTAAAGATGCTTGCTGCCACACTATGGAAGGGGAGAACCAACTCCAACAATTGGTTCTCAGACCCACACATGAGCAGTAGAATGCATAAGCAAATACAGTCATATAGATATTTTCTTAGTTAAAAACAGAGTTGAAGCAAGGAGGTAGTAGTGGTACATATCTTTAATCCCAGCACCGAGAAGGAAGAGG